CTTCATAATTCCCTACCTAACCGACAGATATTTCCCAGAGGACTGTCTAATAATTCACAGAAAGCTATTTCACCAGCTTGATAAATACTCCCTTGGTCAGCAAACCTTGGTTGTCCAGAGTAACAGGGTTTCAATCGTCATTATAGTATTAGAAGTTAGCTCCATAGTTACTATGTATTCCAAAACCTAGTTGTAATACTCAATGAAGTTCTTTGGCTTCTATGGTAGTGTCCCTCAGAGTTCTAGATTCTTTTGGTTATTGTAGCATAGATGCAAATATATTGGTCTCTCGTTGAGATCCTTTATCATTCTACAATATCTCTTTTTGTGAAAATATCCCATTACTTACAGCTCATACCCCAGATATTACATTTTTGAAGTCTAGTAACTCTCTGTGTAGTTAACAGATTTACTCCATTCCATTTCCCAGACCTAGTCGGAGGTCCTCTCGCATATAAACCGTGAACAGAATCCAGTCGGACAAATGGCGACAACCTATATGGTGTTATTCTGACACCCTCAATTTTGTGGTATTATAGTTACAGAACATAACTGAGATAATTACGTATGATGATATGCGGGCATGTAAGGGGCTAGAGGGGGGTATTAGAGATGAGAGGTTTCAGTTCCGAGTAGGGTTATTCTACTTAGGATGATTCCTAGGTATTGGATCCTGGTATTCCTAACAATAATCCACATTAATGCTCAAACCACTCCAAAGATTCTTTTCTTTCTTAAATTATTGATCAATTCTCGAAATTTGAGTTCAAATAGAGAAACCAGCAAATCTGGTTAGTCTTTTGCATTATATTCTGGCTTTAAATTAGACTATATCTCTGGCCACTTTGCATTACATGTCATTGTAATGAAAAGATCTGGCTTGCTGAATTATTAAACAACAGCCATCACATGGTAATAAATTTCAGATATTTGATGTAGTAAGCCAGGGAAGGAAGACGAAAGAATGACCCAGTAGCCAATAGTCTTTGGGTTTCGATTCTCCTGAATATTGTTCAGTTGATTCTGAAGTTGATTGTATTCCTGTGCCTGAAGCTTTGACTAGTTTTGTGCATTGTATCTCAAATTATTCTCCTCATTTATAGCAGCTGCATCCACCACCCACTCCTGTAATAGCTGTCCTCCATAATGCAGTAATGATTTAACTTCTGTAGACCGATGGAGATGATATAAATGGCATATCACTAATAAAACATGCTTGGAACCACCTCTCACTGTAGTTGGCTTCCTTGTATGCTGTTGATGCAGTAATTCTTCCTCTCATTCTATTCCAAATACCTCTCTATCAACTCTTCCAGCCTCAGAATTTCCTCTCAAGGCAATATTTGGCCTTCAGCTAAACTCTCCATTTGGCAGAAGCAACAAATATCTCAATGCCAAGTACTATATATTGAGTTCAGAGATGTGAATCAGGTCATAATAGTTATGGTTTAGATTTTAAGCATGCAAAATAATATCCCACTTATCAAAATAGTCCTCCCCTAAGCCAACAATTAAGATACCCTCCTCCTCTATGATTGGTACATTATATGTTCTTGGATCCATATTTTTCTAGCCAAGTACCTTTGGTTGTATGGTTACTGGTTTTGCTGAATTTTCCTTAAGTACCTCACCAGCATTTTGATATATTCGAACTAGCTAATTATCTTCTGCTAGTTTTTCCATTAATACTTTTAGAATGTTCTCATTCAAAATCCTATCACAAAATATATTCAATTAATGTGCCAACTGAGCATCCATATCTATAGAGTCATGAATGTAGATTGGTGTAAACTTTGGTACTTGATTCTACGATGCTAATAGCGGTCCATGGTTGTGATATAAAAAGTCTTAATTTGAAAAGAGTAGATACTCCCATCCCCTTACCGATATGGAACTTCCTTGGTACCAATTGAGGTTGAAGATAATCCCTTGTTATATACTCAAACTCACTTTCTGAAACTAATAGATATTTCATCCTGTCTTGTAAATAGCCTCCATATAGTCTCTGGTGGCTCCTTGAAGCTAGGTACTTGTGTCTTGCCTCCTGAACAGTAAGTATTAAACCCAGACAAAGCCGTAGAAGACTTTACCAGCTTTTCTCCAAGAAAGTACAACACTTAACAATGCTTACACTCATAAGATAAGAATGACAATTGGTGTCAATTTGGTAATCTTTGTCCTTCAGACTACTGTTACACAAGTAGGAGATGAGCCGAAGGGGGTAGTATTCATCTATTGGCACAGCAGAAATTGCAATTTCGCCAAATTCATTCTCTTTATTCCTAGTCTTTAATGGGCACAGGTTGTCGACATATTTGACACCAAGTTCTGTCACCTTCAATAGGTAATTGTTAGGTATATCAGGATCCGATACCTAAAAACCACCCTAAGTAGGGTAACCTCGCCCAGAATTGGAATCTCTGGTCTCCAACACCCCCCTGCAGTGTCTTTACAGGTCCCGCACGTCAACATACATTTTCCACCTCAGTTTGTGTCCTGTGACTATAATGCCACAGAATTAAAGGTGTCAGAATAATACTGTATACGTTACTGCTGTCGGTCCAACCGGATCCTGTTCACAGGATATATGGGCGAGAACCTTCGGTTAGGTCTGGGATGTAGAACAGAGTGAATCTATCAACTACTTAGAGAATTACTAGTTTTCAAAGATGTGATGTCTTTGGAATGGGCTGTAAGTAATAGAACATTTTTACACAATGAGATGATATTGAATAATAAAGGATCTCAACAAGAGACCAATATATTCACACCTACTCTAAAATAACTAGAAGAGTTTAGAACTCCAAGACACACTATCTTAGAGGCTAATAGACTTTACAGAGTATTACAACTAGGTTACAAAGAATATTGTAGCTGCAGGAATAATTCCGAATACTAGGATGGTAATCAAAATCCTGCTGCCCAGAGCAATCAAGGGTTGCCGACCCAGCAATTATCTGTCAACCTAGCGGAGTAGCTTCCTGCAAATTAGTAGGGAGTCCTCCAACAGATATCTATTGTGTTAAGTAAGGAGTTATGAAGGTTCAAAGTCAGCAGACCCAGGAAGGTTACGAGTACGACTACCTTCACGGATACAACCCTCAGATGAAACTGATCAGTTCATTAATGATGGAGACAATTGGGGCCAACTCAGTTCAACTTGAGAACTAGGCCATAAGTCTAAAAACTCTGATAATCGGAGAATTACTGTTGGAAATGGCATGATTTCCAGTTAACTCTATTATTACCGAAGAGGGTGTAGTGATTTTCAGAGTCTTCAGATATTCGCACCTTGAAGAATACCCAACGTTGCGAGTTATACTTAAGGAGATACCTCATTGTATAATGAATAGATGTAGTCCATGAACACTCAGACGTAGAATATAAATATCGAAGTACCTCGCAAGCTTTCGACATCATCAAGCAACGGAGAAGAGATTTTAACAATATAATATTAGTTTTAGTATTCTATCTTACTTTACCAATTTTGCTTTACTCTTAGTAGTCATAAACGAAGCGAGTAAATTCAAGCCTTCCTAGACAATCTCTGTCTACAAAAATGATTCTTGATTAGTCTAGACAACTCCAAAGTCTATTAGGTTGTCTCCGCCTAGCAGTAATCAACTGGTCTATTTCCCTATTTTTCCCTAAATTAGTCTCTTTATTACTATCAAGTCTTTGTCAAATATCTCTCACTATTATTACATCTGTCTCTTGTCTTCTTATTGCTCCTCCTATACCTTTTGCAGAATCAAGTTCCTCATTAACAGCCCGGTTAGACCCTTGGTCCACATTCAATATCGGACCATGAACTTGGCGTTGGTTTGCTCTCAGCTCATGACATGTCAGACATGTTTTGTCCTGTGTACAATTATGCTTAAGGCCAAACTCCGCAACCAGTTTCATTCTTCGACATGCTGAACTAAATGTGCCAATTGCTGGATTTGCATCTATTCTGTTCTCGTAATGCAGTTCAAGTTTCAATTTCTGATATCCTCATTGTTGTATTTGTAAATGGTAAACGAATACTCATTTGTTTGAGCTATGTTTATCTTTATATATATTCACTACAATCTCAATACTATTGAATCTTTTTTAACTTTCATACTATTTCAAGTCACTATTGGTTATGGGTTATTATCCTAACTTTCTTCTAATTATTATCTATAGTATTATACAAATGCTATACTTAGCTTTAATTTAATACTATATACTTTGCTTTATTTTTGAGTCTAATCTTTTTATATTTTCCATCATACTACTTTAAACTCAGTTTAGAGAGGTAAAAAGTTATGCTTATTGCTGGAGCCAAATGTACTATCAATTATATTTTTATGTATATTTAGAAATAACTCAAAAATGAACAATCAGATAATTATGAAAATTGGAGGGTGAGAAGAGAATGACCCAATCTTGTAGTCTATGATATTTAATTATATGAGAGTATATATTCTGATATCTTATAAAAGTGCAAGTAGTATTTGTAAGTCTCTTCTGTATAATATTAAAATGATGATTTCAGACTTACTGTTACTTTGCTTGGCATTTGTGTACTTGGCACAATTATTTTGTCTTGGAATATTCATTATATGACCATGTTTTTTGAAAAAGATTGTCTTATATAATAAATTTCTTTTGATTGTTTTATTTTATCTTATTTATCTTATCTTATTTATTTTATTTTATGTTCTTTTGTTTTTTGCTCATTTATGCTGAAAAAAAAGGGAACACCATAATAATATTATTATTATCATAACTTACCTCCTTCCCGTTTACCTATCACACCGGTATCTATCCTACCTGCTTCACAGACCTTCTACACAAAAACACACTACCCTACCGCACCGTAAAAGTCAAAAGGGAGGGTAAAAAAAAAAGGTACTACGCTTGCTGTGCTGTGCAACTATCATATCATACCAACTTATCACAAGCACCCCCCCGTCCTTGGAGACTACTACTTGTACCTCCCAATAGCGGCCAAAATACCTTACCGTTGGAAGATGCCACTCAGCACTTTCCTCCCCCTCCTCCACGAAATCCACGACACGTACGAAGGTTCGCTTACCCCCACCCCTATAAGAGCGGTGAACAAAAAAGTGAACAAACTAACCACCAAAACCCCCCCCCGCCCGGCGGCCCATCCCCACCCCCATCCTTGCAGAATCCATAACCCTCTTCGCCACCAAACCTCCATCCAAAGACCTCGGCTTCCTAGATCCCAAGTCCCTCTCCGTTAACATCACCATCGGTGCACGGGACCTGACAATCCAGCAGTCACCCAGCGTGCTCTCATCTCCCCGTGGTGGTGAGACAACCGGTGCCGGTACCGTACCACCTACCCGAACAACCCCCCCCCCCATACACACAACACATTAACTTATTGCAATCTACTTGCTGACTGGCAACAAGTCCTTTGGAAAGTAACCCCCATCTTTGCAGACTACCTTTCGAACCCCGGGAACGCATTCTTTAGTCATGGAGTTTTGAGCTCGAGGTCTACGGTCTTGGAACTTGGCTGCGGGGTTGCAGGTGTGCTTGGGTTGACGCTTGGGAGTAGTGGCAGGGTTCGGGCCTATTTTCTCAGCGACCAGGAGTATGTGCTGAAGCTGTTAAGGAGGAATTTGGAGGAGAATACCCCGCCTGCTGTTGCTCAGCGCAAGGGAGGTGCGAGGGTGAAGGGGAGCGCGATGGTTAGGACTCTCGCGATAGATTGGGAAAAGGATCGGATTACTCGGGAGCACCCGGTGCTTAAGGAAGGGGTGCCATTTGGTGCGGTGATTGCTTGCGATTGTATATATAATGAGTCATTGGTGGAGGGGTTTGTTGAGGCCCTGGAGGAGGCTTGTCGGGAACTTTCGGCCGCCTCATCCTTCTCCACGAGGGCAGCTGGGGGAAGAGACAGTGGCAGCACACTTTCCGAAGGAGCGGGAGGAGAGGGAGAAGCGAAGCCAACTTTGGCAGTGATTGCGCAGGAGCTCCGATCCCCAGAAGTATTCGAGACTTGGCTCGAGAGATTTCGTAAATCCTTCCACACATATCGCATTCCCGACTCGCTGCTCACGCCCGAAATAAACTCCTCCTCTGGGTACTGTATACACGTCGGAATCCTCCGAGACTAAGGAAAGACCTTTTTGTACATAAAAAATAATCAAGGAAAGTTGTCAAACTACCACCACTGCTACACCAATACTGATACTAAGTTACTACGATGGCAACGATTACATCCTCCTCCACCTCTCACTTTTTAGATTCAACGGTGATGATATGTAGTCGTTGCCATCTTCACTTTCGTCCTCCGAGTATCCGGCCGAGGGTGTGCCTTCTACCCCAGACATCAAAGAGAGGCCCGGTGGTCGCTCTGGCGTCCCGGCAGATGGAGTGAAGGTCGGCGACAGTGCAACCTTAGGCCGTGATTTGAATACTGAATTGTAATCCTCCAACATCAGCAGATCCTCTTTTGGTGTTGTGGCCGAGGGGCTCTGCATTGGCGTGGACAGGTTGCGATTATCTGGCGGGCTAAGGGACGGGGGCCTGTTGGGGAAACGGTTGCTCCCTGGCGACTGGGCAATATCTAGCATTTCGCTCTCATCTACGTCAAATGATTCATCTAATGAAGAGGTTGGCGAGCCCATCCGAGGTAGTTCGTAAGAATTGTGATGTTGGTCACGCTTAACTGGTGACGGCTTTTCTGGAGAATAGGTAGCTCCCGCCACTGTTGATACAATCTATAATTCATTGGGTTAGTGTTGGAATCGATTCCTAGCGCCGGCCGATAATGCGGAGTAAACAAACCTGCTCAGCCAGAAGTTCATCGTCCCCAGACCCAAGGGAAAATCGGCCAATCGATTTTTTAGGCATGCTTGGCTCCGGCGATACAGACATAGCATTGCGTTGGCGGGGCGCACGTGGGGTTAGTGATATTACTGAGGCTTCTAAACTGCTGAGGTGCTCATCTTCATCCGAGGCATCAGTAGAGTTTGTTTGGTGCGGCTCGTATTCATGAATCCGTTGGGAAACTTTCATTGGTGGTTTTCGGCGTGGGTTGTATTCTTGTAGAGGCGGCGAGGTGTCCTTGTATTCGTACCCTGGGTGGGCGGAGCAGATCGACAAATCTTCGGACCTATAATTTTCCGGTTCCGACAGCTGTTCTTCTCTCTTTACCTGGTCGGATAGCTCTGTTTGCTCTTCCCCTTGGGCTTCGTCCATACCAAGACCCTCTTCCGGTTCGCTAGCTGTCCTAAAACGGTATTCCAGTGCTTTCTCAGTTTCACGACGCACTCTAGGAGCGCTAGCCGCAGCAAGGTCATCGCGTAATGATGCCAACAGTTCGGTGTCTGAGAAGTGATTTAGCGCATCAGTGGAACAACAACGAAGGGCAAACTTACACTCGTTTCTCTCACCTGTGAGGCAATCTCTTGTAATCTCCAACTGACCACTATGTAGGAGCTACGATTCCATTAGCGATGGAAGCTTTGTTATTGGGTGTATCTTACTTGGTGTCGACTGAATGCAACCTTCAATTGTTTCTTAGTCTCTGTACCCTCAGCCGAAACAGCTTTTGGGGTCGGTTGTGGGTTAGCATGAGGGATAGTCTCTATGTGGTCCTGCCGTAGCTGCCGAAGCTCCCCCAACTTCCTTTTTTGATCTTGAATCTGTTGTTCCAGCGCCCTTAAGCTGATCTCTCCACTCCTCGCACTCACAGGTCCGCTCTTGAAGTGCTCATGCTTCGTCAGTGCCTTCTCAAACGGCAGCTCGAAAAACTGTTCCCGAGTGAACTCAGGGTCCCCCTGGAGTAATATATCAAGCCACCGTTGATCCCCGAGCCAATTGTTTCTCCACTTTCTGAGTACATCCTCCTCGTACCCCCGGGGAAGTGACTTCTGTGTGTCTTCTGCGCTTGATCGTATAAGGGACTGAGAGAGCGCCGAAATCTCTGTTTCCTTGGTATCTAGGAACGCAGAAAAGGATGCCCATTGAGCTTTGGAAAGGCGACGGGCGTGAAGTAGTTGGCTCAATGACGCTTGATGAGCAAGTGTTAAGACTTTCAGGTCCCGTGGTGCAGGGGAGGAGGTCTGGTTATATGCTATAACGCGCCATCATATGTTAGAAATTTGAGATTTTTGGGGACATCAATCCCGACACGCACCATATGTCCCCTGAGCGACATCTTTGAAAAATCCGTTTTCGATGCGATCCTTCAACACCGTTGTAGACAATGCCAACAACAACTCTTCATAGCGTTCTCCGGAGCAATCGTCCATTAAAGTCTTCCTGACTAGGATATTCCCTAACTGGCCAGCCCTTTTGAGGTCAGTGAGCCATTTAAACACTACATTCCGAAATTCCCTCGATTGCGCGGGTTCGTAAATCGGCCAGCAACCCTCAAGTCTCTAATTTAGCCTCCTGAATTAGTCTCTCATTACCAAACCTTCTTAAAGCTACTTTCCGTCATCCGGTTTGCCGTGGGGGGAGGAATGCTGATAAGCAACGTACAATTGCACATTCCTCAGGGTCAAAGGAAGAAAAGAGGTGGTAAACAATGTGCTCAAAAGCTTTCCCTTTGTTCTTCAACGAAGTAAAAACGTCGGGGGTGACAGGGAATGAGTCTTCAGCTTCTCCATCATAGTCCAGCAGCCGTAGGTTCGTGAGCAGTAGGGAGACGGTGGGTGAGGACTTCATGGGTTGTTAGGAGAACACCCGGGTCTTTTTTCTTGTATGTTTATGTGACGGGAGTGCACGTTTGCTGAGGTCAGGCGGGGGTGCGTGGGGGGGGGTGAGGGATAATGGTTGCGGCTGCTGCTGCTTTGATAACGGCCACGGGAATCGCTGTAAGGTGTGAAGACGAAGGGGTATCTGAGTCGTGCCTGGTGTTTGAGTTTGTTGGTTTGTTGGCTGAAGCGATACACAAACTCCGGAGTTCCCTAGAGGAAACACTAAGGTGGTTGCTGCCGAGCCATTTTCCTCCCAAGGGCGGAACCCCGGCCCTTGACCAAAGCCTCCAAGATGCCCGCCGTTGAGCCTCCTCCAAAGAATCGTGAACTGTCAACCGGAAGCCAGTTCCCTTCTCGCAGTCCTTCTGCTCGAGTGTCCTACAACTGTCACTTTATTCTTCGGAAAAAAGAAAAACACCTTGTAACATATACCCCCCCTTAAATTTGCTTACTCCCTTTTGATTTCCCCAGAATCCCCTTCAAATTCTCCACTCGTGGCTTCATTCTTTACTCGCCGTATCGGCACCCTCATCAGACAAGCAACAATGTCTAAAACCCCGCGTGAGTACCCCACGTATCTTTATTTCATTGCTAAATGCTAACATTCTCTTTTAGCTCAAGTCGTTGGCTCGAATACCAATAACTTCATTCAAAACTGGTCACTAGATGCAGGTAATGCCCTTCAAGCTCTTTCTCTCTTGGGGATGGCATTAGCTGATGCTGCCACTCATTGCGGTCCTGAAATCAATCCCTGCCACCACCGTAGCTTCACCCGGCTCACCTTTAGCATTTCTTCATATCATCGAAAGATTGAAGACTACACCTAGAGAAGGGTGGCGTAAGCATGGAATTCTTCAAGGAGGTACTTGGAAGAGACTCTGTTCTCACACTGCCCCTGCCTCGATAATAGTCCTTGCGGTTACCCCACTATTTCTGATGGATGATCTAAATTTCTGACGTATCTTTTGGTGGTGTAGAGTCGATAAGTGATCATATGTACCGAATGAGTGTTATCACCATGCTTTGTCCTCCAGAGCACAAAGTTGACAAAGACCGCTGCGTGAAGTTGGCTATCGTTCACGATATGGCTGAGGCTTTGGTCGGAGATATTACGCCACCAGATAAGATCGAGAAAGGCAGGAGGCACCTTCCTGGCATCACTAGGGTATTTAAAAACTGATGCTATATCCAGCCGAGAAACACCGACGAGAGCTCGAATCCATGCAGTACATAGTTAATAAACTCCTGAAGCCAATCTCGGAGGTGATAGCAAAAGATATCATGGATTTGTGGATGGAATATGAGACCGGAAAGACACCGGAAGCCGTTTTTGTCAAGGATGGTAAACTTCTTCGCCACAGTTTATCGAGGCGGCCGCTGATATCACTTCGCGACTACTAGTGGACCGATTTGAGCTTATCTGCCAGACTATTGAATATGAAAAGAAGTACGAAGCTCAGAAAGATCTCAAAGAATTTTTGCATGTCAGGGAAAGCATCAAAAATGATTTTGTTAAGAAATGGGCTGAAGACGCCATGAAGGAGAGAGAGGTTTTCTGGAAGAATGCCGGCATCGAAAGTATTGTCCCGTGAGGACTTGGGGAGATGAGGTACTATGTGGGTTAAAACTTCTCGTATCTTTTCACAAAGAGGAGTCTTTACTCACTTTTTACTCTTTCTACTTTCTGGGCTTTGGGGAACGGTGATGCCTATTTTTGTTTTTCCCTTGTCTTCTGTTCCATTTGGGTTTGTATTCCTTCACAAGTGTAGCATTGAGAGGGTTCTCCCATGTTCTCCTTTGATGTTTCTTTGCGAATACCTCATTTCGTTAGACATGTTTCTTTTCAACGAGCTTCAAACTCTCCATTTTCTTCGGATTGTTTAATCAGGTTCCTAGAATTTGTTATTTTAAACTACTGTTCTGGTCATATATGTTTGCCGCCTTAAACGTGTAACGAGCCTGTGACTATGTAACAGCAGTGTTTCTTATCGGCAGGTCACCAATGAAAAGATGGGTTAGCCATGATATTCTGTGTTTTAAAATAACTATCAGTAAGCATAGGGTAATCTATGGGCCAGATCATTGAGAATCACTCGAGAAGGTCTCTTTTAGTCTTCAGCCTCACTCACACCTAGCTTGTATTCCGAGAGAGACAGTAGAGTTGACTATATATGCAGGTACCGAAAACTTTGGCAGCCATAAATTTCGTTCAAAAGGGTGTTCGAAGAAGCTCTCCCAGGATATTCTCGTGACATGGCAAGTCTAGACCAAATTAGGAAATCTAGGGGTGGACCAAGGTTCCTTATCGATAAGAAACCGTCTAGCCAATCATCCGGAATCGGTTGACAAGCAATTATCCTCGCCCCCCGACCACTGTGCAATTTCTCGACAAAGTCGACAAACTCGCATCCATCAAGCCCCCAATTGTGAGATTTTACCAGGCAGCTTCATTCGTTGGTTCTATACCTCAATGCCAAATTCTGCTGCGCAATCATATACTACCTTCTCAACTGGCCATGACGATTTGGTTCATGATGTAGCATACGGTTTGTTTAGAGTTGTTTTTTCACCTTGGTTTTCCCGGAAAAATCGGTGCTAATATCAAGGTAGATTACTATGGAAGACGAATGGCTACAGTTTCTTCGGATCAGAAATTGAAGGTTTTTGATCTAAGCGATGACGGGGAATGGGTTCTCAGCGAATCCATCCGAGCTCACGAGGCTAGCATTACGAGGGTGGGTCACCCTCTAACCTCGGAAACGACTGTAGTAGTGCTTATAGCAGTGTAACAGGTCATCTGGGGACCTCCCGAGCACGGTCAAATAATTGCAACATGTTCTTACGACCGGATGGTGAGAATATGGGAGGAGCAGGAAATGGGTGAATTTTACTCACCGCACCCCCGTCTTTCACGGTACTGACTTGGGCAGAGCCCAAAGGATCCACACTCCGCTGGAAACGCCAATTCCAAATGACATCCGAGAAGCGCACAGCGATCTACGACATATCCTTTCCGCCGGCCACGGCGAGCACCGCGTCCGGCACCTCGACGGGTCTGAAAATAGCATTCATATCAACCGACGGGATAATCCACATCTACGAATGTCGAGAACCCCAAGACTTAACGCACTGGATACCAATGGAGGCCATAGACACACTCCCTACACCACCGATGAAAGAGATCGAAGTTTCCTTCTGCATTGACTTCTGCCCCTCTCGCTGGAGCGGCGAGCAGCTTGTCGTCGGCGCAATGGACAAAGTCCAAGTATACCGGGTGGGCCACGACACCGTCAGACTCCGACCAGTTGAAGAACTGAAGGGACATAGAGGCCTGGTTAGGGATGTAAGCTGGGCCGCAGGAATGGGCAGGAGCTATCACCTCATAGCAACAGGCTGCAAAGACGGCCACGTCCGTATTTTCAAACTTACCGCCTCACCTGGCCACCTCAGTCCTTCGAGAAGCAAGCACTCCACCAATTCACCCAACTCTCGTCGCCAACAGCGCATGGGTGCCCTCGGTGCTGGCCTAACGGGCGTGGACGAAACCCCCCCACCAAAGGGCGACGACGAGACCAACAATACCGACAGCGATGTAGGCGAGGGTTGGTCGGTAGAGCTGATCGCAGACTTTGACGACCACCACAGCGACGTTTGGAGAGTCTCTTGGAATGCTACGGGAACGGTCCTTTCCAGCGCTGGTGACGACGGCACCATTCGCCTCTGGAAAGCGGCGTTCTCGGGGGAGTTTCAATGTCTTTCTGTTATTGCATCGCAGAGATCTGGGTATGCGCTTGCTGAAGTCTTTTGAGTTCCTTCTTGTTTTTCCCCTTGCTTCAGATTCTTTTCTCCTTTTTCTAGCTTTTGCTTTTGTGGTTTTCAGTTATCCGCTTATTTATATGAGCGAGGCTGGAGGTATAGTTTGACTAACGGGTTTATTTGTCTTTTTTTATGCTTATTAGGCGTAGGTATCATGATGCGACTGATGAAGATTGAGAGAGGAGGGAAGAGGAGGAGTGTTTATTCCGAATGTGGTTTACAATTTTTTTAATTTTTTAATAGGAAATCCTATTTTGGGGGCCTTTGTTATGGTATATTTTTGTTTTGTTTGCGAGATTTCTCTGCCTAGCGTACCTAGGGAGGTTTGGATATGTTACTCATGATTTTTTACAGCAGGTGTCCTCTTGTTACTGGTGGTGGGCCTTCTGGACATGGCTGGTCACTCGAGATGTAGGGCAGTGTCGAGTTAGATATCGCAATCCAACCCGCAGCCCCCCCTACCCTGCAAGCCGGATATGTACACCGCTTCCACCAACACCTTTCCTCTCTCTCCATAAGTACTGGCAACTGTATGCTCGAGTACTATGCAATACCTTATAGAGGTGTCACCGCGAAGCTATGGTGGTATGATATGCCTCTGCATACTCTGTGTGGCAGGATTTATAGTGCTATACTCCAGTGATAGGGCACTTGCTCGCCTGCTATTGGTTGCATCTGCGACTGGGTGACGTTTCATGAAGGTAGTGCTATCATAAGTTTTGTCCGGTGAATATGGAGACCTGCAGTAAAGTATAGCATATCTTTTATGAAATGTCAAAGCGTTGTTTGCTACAATTCCAAAAGCTTTCTGGGCATCGTGTCACATTATACTACTTGAATCGTGATACCATAATTCCCACACGGAGGAATTGATTCAACAATTTTCATTTTGAGTCGTACAAGAAATCTTGAGGTCAGCCACCAGAGGAAAGAGTGAAACGGAAAATAGAAAGAGAGGTATAACATAATCAATCATGCAGCCCAGCCAGTCACTCAGTGTGACATAATCTTGTTACAACTTCGCTCCACCCTCTACAAGTTGGGCCGCAGCCGCAGCAATAGCCAGCTTCCCAGTCTCAACAACACCAGTCTGGAAAATTACCTTATTGCCCACCTTCCACATCTCCGTCCTGAGCGTCTGCCCTGGAAGAACAACGCCCGCAAAGCGGACCTTGATGTTCTTGAAGGCGCCGAAAGTCTGGTAAATGTGCTTTCCGGCAATGCCCATGAAGCAGAGTCCATGAAGGATGGGGGTCTTGAAGCCGCCAACTTTGGAGAATTCGGGGTCAACATGGAGGGGGTTTCGATCTCCGCTAAGTCGGTAGAGGACGGCTTGGTCTTCGGTGGTCTTCTCCTCGGTTACTGCGTCGGGCTTCCGTGCTGGGGGCTTGTTGGGAGCGGTGGCAGCCCCACGGTCTGCGACCTTGGCTGGGCCGCCGAAGTTTCCGGAACCACGAACGAAGATGGTGGACTCGTTGACGAATACAAGGTCGCCGGTGGAGTCTCGAGTCTCAGTTCTAGTTATGACAACAGCTGCTGCTCCCTTGTCAACAACCTCAAGGAGGGTTGGGTAGGAAGTCAAAGAGCAGGAAGTTGGGATTGGGTATTTCTTAATTTCAAGGAATTGCTCGCCATGGAGGAGCATCATGGGATTGAAATTGGGAAGAATCTCGTCATAGGAGAACGGAGTCCCAGCACCAAAGCCTGGGATGACCCCTGATTAACCAGTTAGCATGGCTAAGATCTTGAGGGAAATTGTGGAGAGGCATACCGAATGTTGGTAGAGCTTCAAAGTTCTCATCGCCTTCAAATACCCATTTCAAATCCGTCTTCTTTGCTCCGATTCCAAGGTTGTAAAGGATAACCTCTTTATCGTCGCACTCGAAGAGAGCTCCTTCAACTTTGGCCTTCTTGGCTTTCTCGATGTTGTTGAGAACCTCTTGGTTGACAATGCGCTTCTTTGGTCCGGCCTTGCGGTTTTGCATATTTTGCATGACCTTCTTGATGCCATCTTGGGTGCTCTCAGGGTGATCGGAACGACTATCGTCAAAGTTGATGATAACCTCCCAGGATGCGCGAACTGCCTCGGGCGTAAGAGGAGTGTCTACGGGGAACCTTTAGGGATAGGGGTCAGCGGGAGTTTCGAAGGACACACAAGGTTGTCAAATACACACCCATATCCACCGGAACGTTGCCAGCGGGTCTTTCCAAACCAACCGGAACCTGTCTCATAAAGTCCGCCAGTGGCTGGCTCGGGGACCTTGTCAGAAGACAACAGCACGACCAACGGTGCTATGTAACTAGGCTTGAATGCTTGAACCATATCCTGCGCAAATTATTAGAATGCGTCGAGAGTTCTTTCGGGCTTTTCTGCGAATGCACATGCCTTGGGGAAAACGGTAGCAGTCATAGCAGTACCGGCATTTGGTGCGATTGTGTTGACCAAAATGTTGTGCTTCGCACCTTCTCTTGCCAATGCCCTGGAGAAACCAAGAATGGCGAGTTTGGCAGCGGAATAATTTGCCTGGCCGAAATTACCGTAGATTCCGCTGGTAGAGGTAGTGTTGACGATACGTCCGTACCTCTGTTTAAGGAATATTGGCCATGCAGCTTTGGTGACTTTGTAGGTTCCGTTAAGATGGACAGCCATCACTTGATCCCACTGCTCGTCGGTCATGGAGGCGAATGATTTGTCGCGAAGGATACCGGCATTGTTGATGACAACATGGACAGTGCCAAAAGCCTTAACGGCAGTTTCGATGACAGATCCCCCATCCTCAACCGAGTGCTTTGAGCCCACAGCCTTTCCACCGGCCTTTCGGATCTCGTTGACGGTAGGATCGGGATTCATCACATCGTTAACAACAACAGATGCTCCCAACTGAGCGAACAGCAGAGCGTATGCCCGGCCAAGACTGATTTGGAGGTTAGAGGATGGACTTAGATCAAAAAGACGCTTGCATGGCATGGCTTACCCAGCACCAGCACCTGTGACGACGACTACCTTATCCTTGAAGCTAACTTCTTCGCCCTGCTCATTGGTTCCGAGCTCACGAGCCAGTTCCAATAACTCCATGAAATTAGCTGGGCCGTTAGGGTGCTCACAGGTCGAGAAATCATTGATGTCATCCCATTTCTTCAAGAGCGCGCTGGGAGTCAAAGAGCTATCGGTCTTCAACAAAGCACCCTTTGATCTCTCCCACCGCAACTTGGCAATGTGGCCACCGCCGACTTCAAAGATACCCCCGTTCTCTTCTTCATTCGACTCATGAACTAGGACAGCGACCAAGGGAACAACCCATTCGGGCTTCAATGTCTCAAGTACTTCTGGGGGCATAACTGTCTCCGTCATTCTTGAGGCGGCAATCGGGGCAATAACATTGCACAAAATGTTATATTTTGCACCCTCCCGCGCAAGGGTTTCCGAGAAACCAACCATGGCAAGTTTGGCAGCTATGGGAGTGGAGTGGAGTTAGTGTATCGGCCCTGGGGATTTGGCGAAAAGTATTAGAGCAGCTACTCTTACCAGCATAATTTGTTTGACCAAAGCTTCCGAACAGGCCGGCAGCCGAAGCGGTATTAATTATTCTCCCGTACTTTTGTTTTCTGAAAATGGGCCAGGCTGCTCTCGCGCACTGGACGGGAAATAATAAGCACGGCGACTAGCAAAGCGCACCACGTGCGGCGAATGGGATTGAAATACCTTGTATGATCCCTTCACATGCACCTTCATGATGAGATTCCAATCATCATCCTTCATGTTTCGGAAAGCGATATCTCTGAGAATTCCGGCATTATTGATTAGGATATGGATAGTTCCGAATGTCTTAACGGCAGTGTCAATAATCTTCTCTCCGAATTCTACAGAATCGTAGTTGGCAACGGCCTTCCCACCAGCCTTCCTTATCTCATCGACAACAACATCTGCCGCCTAGGAGTGGGGAAGGAAGCCGCGCAGTTAGCATCTCGGTGCCCAAGTAAAAAGGTAGAGCCCCGAGTAGTGGTTTTAATACCTTTGTCGAGTTACCCTCCCCCTTGAATGATCCACCCAAGTCATTTACAACGACATTTGCGCCCCGAGAGCCAAAGAAGAGGGCGTACGCCCTCCCAAGCCCTCCTCCGGCACCAGTTACGACGATGACCATTCCGTCAAAGCGTAGGCCCTTTGCTGATGCGTTGCCGCTCATGTTGTGTGTGTCGCTGTGTAATGTTTGGAAGGATTGAGAAAGTGTAAGATGATGGTAAATTTGGGGGGGAGGGGGCACGGGCACGGATAAAAGCAAGACAGCAGAACAAGAGAAGCAAACAAGTATGCAAAAAGGAGGAGGAGGAGGAGGAGGAAGATCTCTGAGGATGATGACCTAGGTTGGTAAAGAAGGGTTTGGGTTTACATGTGAAAGGAGGGAGTTGGTAGGATTAGGGTTCGGCTTAAGCTCGGATGTTGGGAAGAGTCTGGGGAAGGGCAGATCGCGGCGTCTAGGCTACAGCCCACAGGATATTATAACCTTCACAGTTCCTGACAGCTGGGGGAAAGCCGAGGCTGTTGTCCCCCCGTCTGCCACAAGCAACGCCCTCCAAACCTCCAAACCTGTCAGGGGCAGGCAAGTTGCAGGTAGGGGAAGAGTGGAGGTCCAGGGAAGAGAGAGAGAGCACTTGGGTACTGTACACGGGTAAAGGTACAGTAGGTTTGTAAGTTTAGAGGCCAGGGGATAGACTACTTACTTGTAGAGGTTTGAACCTTGCCCGTCATTTTCCTTATGTAAAATTGACTTCAACTGTAGGATAAAATTTTATGGTCTCGGTAACAGAGTGGAAAAGCCTCAGATGGAGGAGCCAAAAATAATATTACTCTAGACAACAGAGATGAGCTGCAAGAAGAGTGGCACCGTTACTGAAGCGATGTACTAGTACTGTGCGGTGCTGTACTGTACGAGTACAGTACGGGTAGGGTAGTCTAACTCATGTCGCCTGATTGAAGTTGCTCCCTCTTCGGCAGGGAGGCACCAAAAGAAGGCGACTTCAATCTAGGGACATGAGCATCGCACGAATTCAGCCTCCCTTGCTCTGGTTAACTTACCATCCAAGCTGGATGGGGTCGCGGGCAGCGGGTGGCCCCTCATTGGAAGGGTCCTTCTATGATCACCATAATTATGGCGCATGGCGTCACGCTGAAAAAAGAAAGGAAACGAGCCCCTCGCTTCTCCCCTAAAGCAAGTGTTTATTAAAAGCTCCAAAACACCTATTATCATTTAATACTCGAGTACTAGTACAATTCTCAAACAGAGTCTCATCAATTTTTCCCCCTCTATCTATGTCTTCCACCATTGTCATCAAGGATAAAACCCCCATATTGACCACTTTCCTCCTCCCGCTCCTCAATGCTCATACTTCTGCCAATCCAGCCGCCTCTTCCCCGCCCTTCTTCCTCGGTATTTCGGGCCCACAGGGGTCCGGAAAATCTACCCTCGTGTCTGCTCTTGCCATTACTCTTCGGACTTACCCACATTCGTTGAACGTAGTTGTATTCTCCGTCGACGACTTGTATCTTACACATGCTGACCAAGTTGCGCTGCGCGAGCTGTATCCGGACAATAAGCTGGTTCGGCATCGGGGTGAGCCCGGGACTCATGACATAGAAATGGCCAAAAAAGTTTTCCAATCCCTTCATCATCAACAGGAAACCAAGATTCCCTCCTATGATAAGTCTGCGTACGAGGGTCAAGGTGATAGGGCCGATGAGGCTTCCTGGGAAATGGTCAGTGGCCCTTACGACTTGGTGATATTTGAAGGTTGGTGTGTAGGCTTTAGGCCTCTCCCAGATGATGTTGTGGAGGAAGCATGGAATGGGGGTAGGACTTCAGGAAAAGGCACGCTGGGAAAACATTCACTTGAACACCTTTTGTTTGTCAACACCAAGTTGAAGGATTATGGCACGATAACTGAGTAAAGCTCTTCAATTCATGGAGTTGTGATAGACCCCTTATAGGGAGTATACTGATGGGGGGTTAGCTCGCTAAATGCTCTGATTCATATGTGAGTTCTTTCTTTCTATTGTGGGCTTGAGGCCCTCGTGGGGTGTTAATTCAAGGTAAGCAAAAGTGACGCCGAAGATATATCTTGCGTTTACGACTGGCGCATCGAACAAGAACATGACATGATTTCCTCTCGCGGCCGCGGAATGACAGACGATCAGATAATTGAGTTTGTGAACGGCTGTATGGTTCCCCCTCCTAGCCCATCCTACTGTGTTAACACTTGGTACTAGACATGCCTGCATACGAGCTTTACATTGATAACTTGCGACAAGGCTCTTTTGAGGAAAAAGGCAAGCAGTTGAGAGTGGTAATTGGGAAAGACAGAAATGTCGTTAAAGTCGTGAATATTTAGATTTACGGGCCCGCTTCTTTAGTTCTTATCCACACAACTTTTGACTTTTGACTATCATAGCAAAGTTCCTTCATTTTTTATTTTTATAGTGAATTAAATGTTTGGTGATGTGAAATAGTTTCCTTCATCGACTACTTGGAGTGACCAATTCTAAAATCTAACCTAACCGCCAAGAATTTGTACGATATGGGCTCTCATGCAAAAAAGTACTTGCTCCCAAAATCACCGATTCCACATCATGGTATCATAGTATTAAAAAATAAAAAAATAAGAGGCATAGATAACAAGATACGCTGCCAATGTCCGAGAAGCAGAAACGCTTGATCCCGTATGGTACGAGGACGGACCAAGAACGAGGTCTACAAGTACTTGGACAGCAACCCACTGCGCCGGCATCGACGACGTGCGAATACAGTGACTATCTGGCTAATCTTCCTCTCCCCTGTCCTAGCAGTAGGTTCTACACAATCCTTATTTCACTTCTCTTTTGGGTACCTAAATACTCATTTTCTCCTCTTTCCTCTCTGCCTCTGAATAGCTGTCATGAACGTGGCTTAGCAAGGAAAAGATTTTCACATGACTTATGATTATAAGTTATAGGTACATTAATGTTTTCACGCATATGACCATTTTGGTTATATGATTTGTGTATGTTATGATTTGTTATGTTTCGTACTTGACTCAATTATGAGTCATGGGACAAGTGCCTGGTAATTGTAGCTTGCAAGTGTGCCATACAGGTATGCCTTATGCATATGAGTTATTGTTCACATATGACCTCATTATGGGGTCATGGGTTTCACAGATGTGACCACTTTGGATCATATGACTTGTTTTTTGCGTTTTATTGATTATGAGTTTTCACACATGAAACCGCTATGAGGTCTTGGGTTTTGAGCATGTGACCACATCGGTCATATGACTAGCTTGTTGCGATTTGGTTTCGTGCATTTGACCAGTTGGGGTCAGAATACTGAGGTGAGAAGAGCACTATTGTCAAAAATGTGGCTGGGAGTGGAAAAGCTTTTCACGTAACTTATGATTATAAGTCATAGGTATGTTATTGTTTCGTGCGTATGACTCATTTAGGTCATATGATGTAACGATCCCTCCTTGGATGGTTAGTTCTTGGCAACAGGGAATGATACTTCTCTTTTCTTTCTTCTCCTTTCTTCGTCTTACGATAGCACTAGGCCTCTGCCTACGTTATTGATAATACAAGACCTCAGTCTTCTATCGGGAATGCCTATTATAAGCTTTCTCTAACTCTTCTTCATGAAGAGCTTTCCTTGGCATAACGATAACGTTGCAATAAAGATAAAGATCATAAAGGTGTTTTATATTCATTAAAGTAATAAGTAGGAAAAGTACTTAGAAGTCAATCTAATTTTATTTAAACTCGTACCGCCAATACTGGCATACGATGAGCCCCCACCAGCACAGGAATACCGCTAACCGGTATACCACTAATCTTAAGCTAACTAAGTCTACAGCCCCGCACCTGCCATCCTCGAGTCATACCCGCATGAGAACTAATTACAAGACCATCAAACAACCTAGTGCCCTCTCCGGTCCAAGTCCGTAGCCCCTCTGGTATGAAGCCAACCAGTACCAAGCGTAGCCGAAGCCGAGCAAGAGAGCGACCCAACCAAATTCCTTGTCCAACAAATATAAAATCACTACTACTCGGCCTGAATACCATCCCGCAAAACCTCCTCCACAGTAGAAAACCAACAAAACACACACAAACTAATACTACAGGCGACACAATGGCAGAGAGGAGGTGACCAACATGTCCACCTCTCGCATCTGCATGCCCAGCCATCGACCCTATGAACCCACTTTGCCAAGTACCTCCGAAGAGCGTAGTGGTGAGGAGAACCTGTACCTGCTGCCCGTCCCCCAAAACAAACATATAAACAAAAGAAATACATACAGGCGGTGACAGACCTAAACAGCCAGTGGGGCCTATCTCCCACCCGTGGTGCCTTGCCCCCGCCAGCCATGCCCATTGCCAAACCAAGAAACCAAACAAACTCCACAAAGCTCAGCACGCAAGACCCAAACAAGTCCAACCAGGTGGTCGCAACCCACTATCTGCACAGGTGGCCATCAACCATCCAGGTCATGGAGGAGCTTTGCAGCACTCATCAGCTTCGCCCAACAGCCCCATCAGGCCGGAAACACTTAATTAGACATCGCCTAACCTGATGCATGCCCGACCGGTGCTCGCAGGTGCCTCTCCCCCCCCAATCAGCCACCACCAAGTCCCACACACCAGGTGCCACAGACCCCATCCAGCCCCCTCAGCCCCTCAGACAGATCAACCATCCGACAGCCACAGGACAGCTATACCGAACCCCATCGGGCAGCCACTGGTCTTGGCCGTACCAGCAGAGCCACAATCCTCGACTCCATATAGCCGAGGGGAGCCCACCAGCCAAAGCCGGGAGCCACAAAGAAGGCAGTACCAATACCTGAAGGTACCAGCACCAGCAACACCATCCAGCCCAGTCAAACCGAGGTTCAACCAAGCCGGGAAAAAGGTAAGCAGGGCTAGCCAAAGCCGGCCCCACAGGCCCGACAACAGGCACGGACCGAACGATGGGCAAGAGGCATCCCCAACCGATGCGAGAAGAAGGGGGAGGGCGAGCGAACAGAAGCAGACAAACAGAAGGTAGGCCCTACTTGTAATGGGTGAAGCCGCCAACCACAGACCATAACCGAACCACCCAAACACACAGACAACGCGAGTGCCTGGCAGCCAATCATTTCACACCACGCCAGGTAGCAACAATAACCACACCAAGGGGTAAGAGTTTTCAGGGTCAAAGCTATCCCCACGAATGCGAGGAGGAGACGCCTGACTGAATAACCATAAATGCCGCAAGGACAAAAACTCCAAGGGAACGGCGATAAATAACATTGTAGGATTCCGACTGTAGAAACGAAAATGTAACGAAGAGGGGCTAGGCAGGTACCGCCCTGCCACCTGAGGGGTGATGTGGCCGGTACGATGAGTTGATACTTGGGAAGGTCATCAGTCTAACCCAAGGACATTTTGTATCGCGAGAACTAAGGACTCCGTTAAAACCCAACAAAAGACATGAGCGGGCTCAAAGATTGACACGGGTGATCCCTCCAAACACAATGTTCAATCCCCCCAATCGAACGTGAAACCTGCGAGTAGACGATAGACAGGAAGCCATAGACATTTTGCCGATAGGGGCTCATATGCGACCATGATGAAGTACTTGAAGTGCTAGTATTGTGAGATAACCAACCCAACGAAACGAGATGCAAACAAGTTATCTGCCAGGCAACACCTAACAAACCTCAACACCAAAGACCTCAGGAACTACTGAGCGAACTCAGATATCTCCCCCAGAATCCAAGGCATTAAGGCCCATCATGAGGGCGAAATAGATGCTCGGGGCGAAGCGACGGCAAGGACGAGGAAAAGTACTTAGAACAAAGCATGAAGAACCTATCCTCTTCAGCTGCATCGGCCTCCTTATATAGTATTCTTCCCACCTGTAGTCATGTGATCCAAAGTGGTCACATGTGCAAAACCAAATCATAACAAACTAATCATGTGACCAATGTGGTCACATGCTCAAAACCTATAACTTCATAGTGAGGTTATGTACAAAAACTCATAAATCAATCATAACGTAATAAACAAATCATATGACTCGACTGAGTCATATGCATGAAACCCATGACCTCATAATGAGGTCATGTGCAAAACATAAATAATATGCGCAAGGCTTACCTGCAATGCATACTCACAAGGCATACTCGCCAAGCGCATGTCCCATGACTCATATTTGAGCCATGTGCGAAAGCATCACAAATACCATACATAACAAATCATATGACTCATATGAGTCATATTTGTAAAAAAATAACATACCTGTGACTCATCACTATGTGTCATGTGAAAACCTTTTTCATGCTAAGCCACATTTGTGACATATGACTTATTATGGTATGATTTGTTATGTTTCACACATGGCTCAAATATGAGTTATGGGATGTGTGCCTGGCGAGTGTGCTTTGTAAGAATGCCTTGTAGGTATGCCTTACACATATGATTTATGTTTCGCACATGACCTCGCTATAAGGTCATGGGTTTTACACCTATGACCATTATGGTAAAATGACTAGTTTGTTACCATTTGGTTTCGCGAATGTGACTTGGAGCAGGAAGAGTACTACATAAGGAGGCTGGTACGACTGAGGAGGATAGGCTCTTCACGCTTTATTCTAAGTACTTTCCCTACTCTTGCCTTCGCTCCATCTTGGTAGCATTCCTATCGCGCCGACTGTAGTCTTTGATGCCTTGGATTCTTGGGGAAATATCTTAGTTTGCTCAGTAGTTCCTGGAGTTCTTGGTGTTGAGTCTGTAGTGAGGGTGATTGCATGGCAGATTACTGGTTTGCTTCTTATTTTATTGGCTGATAGTTATCTCATGATGCTGTCACTTTGAGCACTTCATTATGGTCAGTTATGAGTACCTTTCAGTAACATGTCTTCCGCTGCCTGTCGATTGTCTACTTGCAAGTTTTGCATTTGATTGCAGGTATTGAACATTGTACTTGGGGGATCACCTGTGTTGTTCTTTGGGCCAGCTCACATTTGTAGGGTTTTAATGCAGTCCTTAGATCTCATAATGCAAAACACCCTTGTGATAGACTGATGACCTTCCCAAAGTTCAATACATCGTACTGGCTGCATCAATCCCCAGGTGGCAGGGTTGTATCTGCTCAGCTTCTCTTTGCTACTATATGTGTCTATGTATTACAGATGTGGCTTGGTATGGAAAAGGTTTTTACATGATGAATAATTATAAGTCAAAGGTATGCTATTGTTTTGCGCATATGACACATTTAGGTCATATAATTTTATAGTTTGATAGGTTTCACATATGACTCAAATATGAGTCATGAGATGTGCACCTGGCAAGTATGCCTTGCGAGTATGCCTTACAGGTATGC